TTCTTAGCAAAAATACAACAGCAGTTTGCCATTTCCTCCTTGAGCTCATTTTACAAATGAGGAAACTGAGGCAAACAGGGTGAAGTGACTTGCCCGGGGTCACACAGCTAGTAAGTGTCTGAGGCCAGATTTGAACTCAGGCAGGTCCTCCAGACTCCAGGCCTGGTGCTTTATCCACTGCAGCGCTATCTAGCTGTCCCACATATGGGACACAGCATGGTACAATGGAATTCACATTTCTGAATTTTTAGCCAGAGGATCAGAGGACCTGTATTCAAATCCCAGAGCTGCCATTTATTGCCTACGTGGCCTTGGGAAAGTCACTTAACTTCTCTTGCCCTCAGTTTTCTTATCTGTATGATGAATGAGTTAGACTACAATAATCTCTAAGGTCCCTTTTGGCTCTAAACCAAACCAAATGATTTAGCTATCAAAATGATGTATGTGAGACTTTTCCCAATATGAATGCGTACTTCATTTCTTCTGTTTGCTCACATTCCCCCCCCCCGCTCTCTTATCTGTGAGGTATATCAGACCCCTCAGACCAGCATATATGTGTTCCACTTACTTCTAAGACTTATAGAGGCAGCCTGACATAGTACCTAGAATGTGGTTCTATCAGGCTTTGGGCCTCCTAATTACCTCGTGAGCTTGATAATGTAAGTACCCATTTTACAGATGAGCAAAAATAAGTCAGAGGTGAAGTTGACCTGCTTGAGGTTACACAGAACGTGAGTGGCAGAGATGATCTCAGAGTCCAGGTATATTGATAGAAGAGCCAGTGTTCTTTCCAGCGCCCCCTACTGCCTCTCATATACCACAGCGCTATTATCTATTGGTAAGTCTCCTTGTCATGACTTTCTTTTTGACTTTCAGAGGGGCATGGCACATGGCTCATTGAGTTATTCAGTAACTTAGTTTTAAGAGCCTTAAAGATGTGGGTAGGACTAACCTCTCTATGCTGTCTTGATAATTACAAATCTGCCATGTATAACAAAGGGCTGCCAGTCCGTGGGTGCGCTTGGCCAGATACACCCATGGATTAAAGCAGGTGGTGGATTTGGAGTGCTTGAGTGCAGATCATCGAAAATTAAATTAAATTAAATTAAGGCCTCTTAATAGAGTTTTAGAACTTGGTGATCGGCAGTTTTGGTATCGGAGAAACTATGTAACATGGAAAGGGTGATTATACCCAGATGTTTGAATGAGTTAAAAAGAACTGACTTTAAGTCTGTGTGCCTAGTATTGTATCAGTAGATGGGAGCAGACTCAGAGTTCCCTTGGATTTTTTTTTTCGGGAGACAGGGGAAGGAACATAGAAAAGAGGGGGTTTTCTGGTGGATGAGAAGGGTAGGGCAGGACACAGTAATATAACTACCACCACTGGAGCCTGGGGTAAGCACCACAATGTATACTGAGTTTAAAGTAGTAGGAAAAGTCTTGAGCAGGGAGAGACCCTGGAACAGAAACCCAAGGACTGAGAATGTTACTGGGGAGGCCTTCACGGGGACAGAGCAGGGACAGGCTGAGCTGTGAAGCAGTATAGCCACCTAGGAGTGGACATTTATCATCTCTGTCTTAACTCAAACTAGGTACTAAGGTCAATTGCTTCTACTTACTGAAAGAGTACAAGTTGTGCCATCATCCTTTGAATTTTGACATCTCGGACTGAACTCCTGTTGCCATGCCTTAGTTATGGCACTGGTCTCAGAAGTTAGGTTTCTATCGGTACTTGCCTTCTCCAGTAGAGACAGTAGTGGGATTGGGCTGGGTGATCAAAGGTTTTGGGGCTGATATGAGGAGGTTGGTACTTGGGGTCAAAATCTCTACCTTCCCTGGCTGAGGATACGGCCAAGAATTCCCCAGGTTTTGTTGTTTTTTTTTTTTTTTAAAGGCAATTGTGGTTAAGTGACTTGCCCAGGGTCACACAGCTAGTAAGTATCAAGTGTTTGGTCTGAGGCTGGATTTAAACTCAGGTCCTCCTGACTTCAGGGCCAGTGCTCTATCCACTGCACCACCTAGCTGCCCCCAATTCCCCAGGTTTTGATCAACACTGGACTAGTGAGGATGGGAGCTGTTCTCTCTGTTAAGGCTTGGCTACTCTGGGAGAAGGGCTTAACATATAGTTTGTTTTTATGTGAATAGTATTTATTTTTCCAATTATATGTAAAGATAGTTTTCAACATTAATTTTTATAATATTTCGAGTTCCTCCCTCCCTCTGTCCTCCCTAAGATGACAAGCAATCTGATATAGGTTAAACGTGCACAGCATGTAGTGCTAAAGCCTGTGGAGGAGGGGCCCCTCCTTACTAACACACAGGATGGAGAGGAGCAGTGTTTTGAGCTTGGGTGATGCTGACCTTGGAATCCCCTTCCCCTCCCCCAATTTACCATCCATCAAACAGGATGGTAAATTGCTGAGTACCTTCTCTATGCTAAGTACTGTGTTAATTTCTGGGGATCTAGGGACAAAAAATGAAACCAAACATTTCTCTCTGCTCCTTTTATTTTGTTTCTTTGGTGGTCTTTTCTCTTCTTGACCTCTGCTATATTTGATACCATTGCCCGCCCCTTCCTCCTAGGTACTCTCTCCTTTCTAGGTTTGGTGATACTGTTCTCTCCTGGCTCCCATCCTACCTGTTCCTTCTCTGTTTCCTTTGCTGGCTCTCCAGCCACATCACTCACAAAATGGTGGAATTTGAGAGTTGGAAGGGACCCCAGTGGCTGCATAGACCAACACATGCACAAAAAGAATCCTCACTATAACATTTCTTGCAAATTGTCATCCGAGGGGGGAGGCAGCTAGGTGGCACAGTGGACAGAGCACCGGCCCTGAAGTCAAGAGGACCTGAGTTCAAATCTGGCCTCAGACCAAACACTTGACACTTACTAGCTGTGTGACCCTGGGCAAGTCACTTAACCCCAATTGCCTAAAATTGAAAATAAAAAAATAAAAAACAAATGGTCATCTGGACGTTGCTTGAAGACACCCAGTAAGGGTGAATCCACCATCTCTTGCAGCAGCTCCTTCCGCTTTGTGACAGCTCTGAACTTTATCGTATCTTTTCTTGACAATCACCCATCGCTCCTACTTCTTCTGCCTCTTGGGACCAGACAGAACAAATCCAATCCCCCGTCCACATGACAAGCTTGCAGACATACTTGCAAGCTTGCAGACAGTTCTCATGATCTGCTTGAGTCCTTTCTTCTCCAGTCTAAACATGTCTAGTTCATTCAACCCATAAGTCCCCCCAACTGTGGGTTGTTCCCCATAACTCTGTCCTGGGCCTTTTTCTTGCCTCTCACCAGACTTTCACTTGGGAAGCTCCTATGGGTTTAATTATCTTCTCTCTGCAGACAACTCCCAGAGCTAACTGGCCAGCTCCAGTCTCTCCCTGGAGCTTCAATTCTGTCTTACCAACTGCCTTTTGGACATTTTAAATGGGAAGTCACAGAGACGGTGAAAGCACAGCATGTCCAAAACAGAACTCATTATCTTTCTTTCCAAACCTCTACTGAACTTCCCCATTTCTCTTGAGGGTGCGACCATCCTCCCAGTCACCCGTGTTGTTCTTCACTTTGATGTAGTTTTTGGACTCTTCACCCTCTTCTCAATTCATATTTAATCATTTGCCAAAGACGTATTGCTGTTCCTACCAGTCGGACTTTTTTTTCTCCATTCACATTGCTGCTCTCTTAGTTCAGGCCCTCATCATCTCTCACCTGGTCTGTGGCAACAGCCTCCTAGCTGCTCCTCCTGCCTCAAGTCTCTCCCTACTCCAGTCTTTCCTATACATTGTTGCCAAAGTGATTTTTATCAGTGCAGATCTACCCATGTTCCTCTCCTACTTAGTGAACCCCAGTGGCTCTTCCTCGCTTCTAAGATCAAAGATAGTCTTCCTTCTGTGTTTTAAATCTCATTCACAATGTGGCCTCAATCTCTCTTTCTAGTCTCATTATACATCCCTTTCCTTGCTGTACTCTGTTATCTAGCTGAGCGGGGCTTCTCTCTGTTGATCCCACGTAGCACTCCTCCCCTCTCCGTGTCTTTGCCCTCGTCATTCCCATTCCTGGAATGCACTCACTCTTCAGCTCCTCTGCCTGCAGAATCTTTCTTTTCCTTTAAAATGCATCACCTTCTACATGAAGCCTTTCCTGATCCCCCCATCTACCAGTGTCCTCCCTCCCCAGCTATGTTGTTTTTAACTTCCTAGCATTTGTTTCTTCTCCAGGGCTATGCACATGCACATATTGTCTCCCCTGAACTTGAGAATAGGGATTGCTTTGTTCTTTGTCTTTGTATTTCTAGCATCAAGCACAATACTGGGCACATGGGAGGGAGTAAATAAATATTTGTGATTGATAACTGGGTTCTCTTTTTGTTGCTTCTTTTTTTTTTTCTGGGATGAGAAGGGATTTGAATGTCGTTTTGAGTTTGGTGCAAGGGTTTGGAGAAGACCTGACTCTTCTGGCATTGCTAGAAGTCCACTTTCTGGTGCCTGGAAGGCCTCTTTGCTATAGTCCTTAGAGTGCACTATGGAAGTGCGAGGTGTAATTATTATATTGATGAGTTTTACCAGTAATTCTAGGTTTGAACAGAAGAAGAGAGAGTCCTCATTCTAAGCTACTTGTATAATTTTGACTTTCATTTCTCTGTGGTTTTAAAGTGCTTTTCTCCTGGTCACCCTGAGAGCTAGGGAATTTCTGTCCCTGTTTGCCATAGGAGGAAATGACAGCTCAGAGAAGGAAAGGGGTTCCATTGAATCTGACCCCCACTCTTTACAGATGAGGAAACTGAGGAACTCAGAAATTAAGTGACTTGCCCAGGGTCACACAGCTAAGAAGTGTCTGAGGCTGGATAGTTCAGCGTGTCCCCTCTCCTGATGACCAGTTCAGTGTCCGCTCCACTGGAGACTGAGTCAGGTGTGGGTTATATCGCAGTGTGTTATCAAGCGTGCTACTCTTGTGCTACATAAATGCATTTTGTTTGTTGTGTTAGAGACGACAATTCCCATCTGTGCAAAGGACATCACTGATCTCTTGGTGAAGGAACTGGCCTTCCTTTCTGGTGAGTACACTTCCTCATACTTTTGCTGCCTAGCCTTTCAGTTTGCATGTTTTCCAAAGCACTTGGGACAATGTTACACATTGAAAACAAACAGACAAACAAACAAGCACAGTTCAGTGAACCTAAAATGACTACGTGTGAACTTAGTACTTTGCTACACAGTGTTCATGAGATCTTTGACCTTAGCTGAAGAATGTGAATGCAATCACATCTCATTCATTCATATGGCAGAATATATGTATATATAAATAATTAATACGTATACATATATAATATATGTGTGTGAATATATATTTTATATAAATAATATGTATATACACATACACACATTATTCTGAGGAAGGGTCCATGGGTTTCACTAGACTGTCAAAGGGGTCTAGGATGCAACAAACGTTAAAAAGTCTTGTTCTAAATATGTGTTCCTATTTAGTCTGAGAAAACAATCAGCTGGCTGGTTGTAGAACTCTGGAGATTTTTCCCCAAAATGAATACACTTGCCTACATTAAGCCTCATCTGTCACCCTTCTGCCTTTTCACTGTCTCCTGAGCCCATCTTGGCGATGATGTCCATCACTGTGGCATTTCCCAAGCTAACAGAGCAACTTATAAAAATATTTAATCAGATCTGTCCCAGCACTGATCCCCAGGGAGCCTCACTGTTTACAACTTCACCCACTAGAAGACTGCCTTTTAATCTCCAGCCTTTGTTGTCTTTTTCATTTTTTTTATCCGTGGAGAAAAGCAGTGACCTCCTCCATGTGCTCCATCTCCCCCATCCCATAGCGACTCATTCACCCCTCTCTCATCCCATAGCAACTCAATTTTCCTTAATAACCATCAATATGAAACCTTCAAGGTCTCAAGCCTACCGTCAAGGTAGACTTCTGGGGTTTTGTCTACTACTTTCCCCTTGTTCATGTGCAGATTGACTCTCAACGGACTCTACTTGATTATTCAGGCACCCTCTTCTCCTAGAGAAACTAGGCAGTCTTTCCCCTAATGAGTTGTCTTTGCTGTAGTGCACAGTGATTGTGTCCTTTATTATGGCCACCACCAGCTCAGCTACTATGGAAGTAAGTTCCCTTCTGGAGCCCTTCTTATAGATGGGCATCTCTAGGCAGCCAGCCACCCCCTTGGTGCGGTAGCCCTATGCAGAGACAGGCTGTGCATCTTGGCTGTAAGCTTCTCATTTCCGCTAGAATTCCTTCCAAAGTCTTTGGCAATTTAGTCCCAGGCCTGGCAATTTATCTACATCTCTCCTGTCAATTAGGCCTAGGACATCATTGGCATTTACTGTTGCTTGCGGGCTTGTATTTAGCCTGTCTACTTCAAGAGACAATCTGGGAGTGGGACGTGCCCTTGGCATCTTGCTGGATGAAGACCAAGGCAGAGTTTGTTCAGTCTCTCTCACTCTCTCCCTCCCTTCTCCTCCATCTCTTCTTCATCACCATGGTTATCAAGTGGCTCTAATGATTCAATAACCCTTTTCCTCCCTTTGATCTACACAAAGCATCTCTTTTCATTAATTCTGGGTTCAGAGCATCCTCAAATGGATGTTTTCTTCCCTGAATTTCTACTTGCAACCTAAGGCCTCCCTTTTGTCACACCATCTTGCTAGCCTTGGGATCACAGACTGGGGACCTGAAGGGATTGCAGAGGTTACCTGGTCCCTCCCCGTGTTTTATAGAAGAAGAAACTGAAGCCTGAAGAGGAGAAGTGATTTGTCCAGGGTCACTTAGCTAGTGAATGACAAAACTGGCATTCAAACCCGGTCCTTCTGATTCCAAATTCAATACTCTTTCCACTGTGCCATGATGCCCCATCATGATTTCTCCTTTGCCTATCCCTATGGTAGATGTCGTGCAGGATTTTTTTTTTCTTGTTACCTTTATAACAAGAGGTAGCATAGCCTAGTGGATAGAGAACCTCCCTCAAAGCCTAGGAGATGTGGATTCAGGTCCCACCTTGAATACATACTTTCTAGGAGGGTAACCCTGGAGAAATCCCTTAGCTTCTCTGTGCTCTAGGTAACTCTCTTAAGATTATAAATTGCAAAGAAGGTATGGACCTGCATTAGTAGAGAGAACTTCCTCATTTTGGAATTTCCCTATAACATTGAAATCACAGGCTCAGTCCCTGGCCCTATCTTTAGAGATCCCGGCATACATTGATTTCTCCTGGGCTTCCAGGCAGTTGTTGCTAGGGTTTCTGTGGATTATTTACTTTTCTAACACTTCCTTCAACGTCCCCCCTGACGAATGCTCACATTTTATCCTACCCTTTCAAAAAAGTATAATTCTGGGTTGGCCATCCAGGCTTGCCCTTCTTCTTTCAGGATGTGAACCTTCTGTATGCTGTGTTAATTATCGTACCTGTGATTAGCCACCCACAATCCTCTCTGGTTCCAGTCCCAATCCCATGCTCTGAACCATGTCCTATGGGTTTCCCCTTCCCATGAGGCTGAAAAGTACTCATTTGGGGAAGTAGTCACTTGTCCTCCCTATCATCTCGCCCTGATCAAGTATTCTGCCAGCCTCACTTGGGATAATTAAAGTCTACCGTTGTTGCTGCTTGGCGTCATCTGCTGCTTCCCATATTGCATTTAAGAAAGTCCATTTCAGTCACTTTCTCCTGGATGAGTGGCCCCTAGCTCTACTCAACCCCCCAACATTTTTATTACTCACGCAGGGAACTTAAAAACAATTAAAAATCATTTTAATCTGAGTGCCTTATTATTGAAATTTATTCAAGTAGAGTTTGACTACTCTCTCCTTATAAGTAACAAAGAGAAGGTGGCCAGGTGACCTGTGCTCCTGACTGTGTTGTTATCATTCTTTTGATTTCATGATCACATTTTCCCAAGCTGCTTGAATCACAGATTTCGAGAGTTGGAAGAGGCCTAAGTGATCCCTGAATTGAACCCATAAATGAAAGGCATCCCCGCTATCATGTACCTGACCAGCAGTCATCTGTCTTCTGCTCGAAGACCTCCAATGCCATGAAACTCCCTACCTCCAGAGGAACACTGGATGGAAAAACAAGAAACTCGGAGTGACAGAATTTTAGAGGATCCCACCAATTCCAAAGAGCAGCAATTTCTTCTTGGCAAAGTGCTTTTATTCTGCCTCCCCCTGCCCAAGTGGATTCATGCCTCATCTCCCTGTGGGTTTCTTGGGCAACTGTCAAAACAGTGTCAGTCTCATTTGATGTTAACGTATCTCTGCACCTTCTCTCTTCCTATTTTATTTTTAAGTAAGATTTTATTTACTTCAGTTATTATCAAGCATTTTTTCTCCCTCCCAAATCCTCCTACATCAGGTAGGGAAATGCCATCTATAGCATTACATTAGGCCTCAAAAAAAGAAAGGAAAAAAAAATTCCATCATTATTATTTCATTGCACCCTCCCATACAGCACTCCCCTCCTACCTTCTCCACTGATCAGCTTCCTTTCCTTGCTCATTCACCCCTTTTTCTGCTCTTTAAGCCAAAGTTATTGATATGGAAGTATTCCACTATTGGGGTTTTGCTCTCCAGCCATTTCTCATACTACTGCTTTGCTCCCAGTTTGATACATCTGTGGCTGTCATTTGGCCATAAGCATGTCATGAAATGCTCTTTTATCACTTTGTGGCTCTTAATTAATTTTTCATTCTATTCCACCCCTTCATTTTTCAGCAGCCATCTCAGGACACGTAGGGCCCTTTTATTTTGTCTCAATCCCATCTGCCCTGACACCCTCCTTGGGACGTCATTGTTTCATTTCTTCTTAATTATGTTTAACTTGTGTTTTTTTTTAGGTGGCAGAGGGAAAGATAATGACTGGATTATAACATTTCCAGAAAACTCCAATTTCAAAGACGTGCCAGAGGATGTCTTAACAAAAGTGTTAACTTACTTGACTTCCCTTCCCAGGTATGTCACTTCATTACTGTTGATCCCAGAGTGTGGGAGAAAATAATTATTTTAATGTAATATTTGAAAAAGTGAATCAGTCTGGATAGAGGGCCAGCCTGGGAGTCATAATGTGGAGTCTCGTCTCTGACAACAATGAGCTGTGTGATGCTGGGCCAATAATTTTACCTTTGTATGTCCCATAAACCATTCTCTAAGACCTTAAGGTACAGATAAGTTGTTGATGTGTATCAGTGGGAAGGAGTTCATACTTGGAGAGTTCTCTGCTCTGATGAAATCATGAGTCCAGACCTTGAGTTCTGCAGGTTAAAACACAGATAATGGAAAACCTTGAATTCCTATAGGGCTTATGATAATGTCTAGCCTGTGTCCATTCTAGCATTTAATTTATTATTCTTGCCAGCTAAAGTTCAAGCTTTGGACTCTGAATTATAGTTATTTGTGATGTGTCTTATCTCCTCTTCGGAAGGGCAAGGAGCCTATTAGCACAGTGCTTTGTCCACATTGGGGGCTTCATGAATGGTTGCTAGACTGAGTTGAAGATCTCTGAATGATGAAATTGAGGAAGGAGTGTTCCAGTGATGAAGGCTACAGGGAGGTTTCTTTAGGAAGATAGAAAAAAATGTAGGACTTTTTAGGTGGGAACAATGAAGGCTAAGGGAGTGTGGGATCTACACCTAGAAAATCCTGAAAATATTAGGGAGAGCACAGACATGAAATGGATTCAACCTTATGGATTCCTAAAATGAGGGAGTATCCCTGGAGGCTGGAAAAGGGCTATTTATAGAACCAAAAAATATCTTATTTTATACATGAGGGAAGGCATTATTACCCCCCACTGATTACGGTTAGACTTGAGCTAGAAAAAAGGTTTGTGAATGATAACTCCTTAATGAATCAGTAAGGGAAATTAGGGTAACGGGGGCAACAATCCTAACTTTAAAACTATTTTATTGATACTTTTAAATACTGTTGTTGCTTCCTCCACCACTCCCCTGGCTCGAGAGAATCCTCCTTTGTATCACAGACAAAGAGTTAAACAAGAACAAATCAACACAAAGTAGGGCCTCTTTTTGCACCCATTGTTCACCATCTTTCTACTTAGTGGAGGGAGATAATGTTTTTTGTCATCGGTTCTCAGAAGTCAAGATTGATCACTGAATCTGAGTTCTGATGTCTTTTAGTGTTGTTTTCCTTCACATCATTGTAGTCATTGAAACGACCTGACCCTTATGAGAGAAGAACACTAGAGAGCAATTACTATGTCTTCCCAAAGACCGTCCCTTTGGTTACTGCCGGAAACCAAATCCTTGGCTGGATGGAATGTGGGCTCCCAAACTCATTGTGACCCTATCTCTGCCCTCATTTATTCAGCAGACATTTCCATGCGTACTGTGTGCAGAATACAATGTGGGGTGAGAAATGAAGTTTCGATAAACAGTCGCCCCTGTTTCTATGGAACTTCTGGTCCGATGGGAAGGGGCAGAGGACCCATCTTCAACTGAGCTCTCCCTGAAGCAAGACATTCCTTCACTTCTTCCCTAATTTATTCTCTCCATTACTCCCTCCCAGAAGCTATTCCAAATGTTGTGTTCCCTCCTCAAGCCTCCTATGCCTCCCTCTCCTCACTCTTTCTCCTAAATGAGTACCTTGACTCTTATTTTACTGAGAACAGTGAGGCCGTAAACCCTTGACATTGTTCCCTGCTCTCTCTTCCTTTGCCCCAATCTCTGACAATGAGATAGCCCTTCTCCTTGCCAAGGCCAATCTCCTACATCCCCTTGATGCCATGCCCTTCCGTCTTCTCCATCACATTGCTCCCCTAATCATTCTCCCCCCACCTTTCCTGAATCTTAAACCTCTTGCTGTCTCCTCCTATCTTACCTACTGCCTTCAAATATTCCCAAGTCTCCCCCATTCTGAAAAAAAAACTATACCTTACAATACCCTCAGACTATTGTCTTATATCTCTCCTCCCTTTTTTTTAAGCCAAACTCCTTGAAAAAAAGTTGTCTATCCTTGCTTCTTCTACTTCTTCTCCCTTATTTATTCCTCAGCCCTTTGGAATCTAGCTCCTGATCTCATCACTCAACTGACATTGCCCTCTGCAAAGTTATCCACAACCCTTTAATCATGAAATCTGATGGCTCTTTTCCGGTCCTCATCTTCTTAACCTCTTTGCAAAATCAGACACTGTTACTGGCTGCCCTCTAGGTTCTCGTCACACTCTTCTCTCTGGTTCTACTTGTGCCAGTGCTCTTTCTAAGTTTCCCTTTAGGCTCCTCATCCATAACACACCTCTTACTTTGGATGTTCCCAAGATTCTTTCCTAGGCCCTCTTCTATTCTCTATATTTTCTCGCAGTGACCTTATCTGCTTCCATGGGTTTGATTATCATTTCAATGCAGATAACTTACAAATCATCTCTCCATTGAACTTCAGTATCCCCGTCACCTTTCAGACTAGATGACCTATAGACATCTCAAACTCAACCTGTCTCAGACAGAACTCTTTAAACCCACCCTTGTCCCAACCCTCCTTATTTCTGTTGGAAGCACCACCATTCTTCCAGCATCTCTGATCTGTAACCTTGGCATCATCCTCTACTTTTTTTCTCACCCCACATAACCAATCGGTTGCCGAATCTTGTCATTTTTGCCTCCACAACATCTCTTACATCTGACCCCTTACCTCTACTCACACAGCCACCACCTTCTATCCAAACCTTCATCACATCTTGCCTAGATTATGTAATAGCTTCCTAATTGGTCTCCCAGCCTCAAGTCTCTCCTCATTCCAGTCCATTCTTCATCCATCAAAAGGATTTTCCTTAAGTACAGATCTGATCGTGTCATTCCCCTCTCTGCATGTCAATGACTCCTCATTGCAACTACAATCATATACGAACTACTCTGTTTGGCTTTTAAAATCCTTCATAACCTGGCTGAACCCTATCTTCCTCACTTCATCGTATATTATGTGCCCTCCTGCCCTCTGTGATTCTGCCAAACTAGCCTTCTCTCCATTTGAGAGATGTTCCATTTTCCATCGCTATGCCTTTTCACTGGCCATTCCTTGTGCTTGGAACACACCCTACTCCCTCATTCTCTTAACGTAATCCTTCACAGAAGCAATAGCTTTAAGATGAAGCTCAAGCAGTACCTTCTGTACTGATCCCCCCAGCTGCTAGTGCCCTCCCTCTCAAACTACCTTACGTTTATCTACTTGGAATGTATTTGCATTTATTTTATTTATATTTATTCTGTAAATAGTTATATATGTCCTTAATGGCTCCTTTATTTGAAGGGAAGCTCTTTGACAGCAGGGATTATTTCATTCCTTATATTTATGTTCCCAGTGCCCAGAACAGAGCTCACCACCCAGAGGGCACTGGACTGATTGCTAAGATAGATCCAGACACCAGTAATATACGATCACATGCAGTTGAGAGGTGAGAGGGGAAAGGTTGCTCTTGGCTCTGGAGTGGGTTGGAGGAAGGCTTCGTGTAATGGGGAGCATCTGAGTTAGGCTTTCAGGGATAGGTAGGAGTTCAGTAGACAAAGGGAAGAGAGAACACCTGGCATAGAGATCAATATGATCAGAACGCAGAAGTGGGAAAATGCCAGGTGTGTTTGCAGGGGCAGAGAATATTCCAGTTTGGCTAGAGTATCGAGTCCATAGAGGACAGTAGTGTTAAGAGAAAGCTGTGGACATTTCTGTTTCAGTCATCATGGAGATATAGGTTAAATAAAGTACAAATGGTTAAATTAAAAGACTAAGGGGCTCTGTATTTCTTTTAGGTGCTTCCGAGATTTGCTCAGCATAAATCTAAAACTAAGAAATTTCAAATTCTAGAATGGCAGAGCTGGAAAGTACCTCAGAGACTACCCAGTCCAACCTTTCCCTTTACCAGATAAGGGAACTGAGGCCCAAAGAAGGAAAGCTATTTGTGCAAGGTCACATAATTAGTTCCTATAAAATTATTTTGTTTTCAAAGGTTATGTTTCCCCTAAATGATAATGGTGAGATGTGACAGATGAGAGTAAAGTTCCTTTTTGGATTATGTGAAAAAGACTTAGGAGGAGCTTGAATTAGTCAAGGCCAAGGTCAATACCTGATTACCCAATGTTTTGCTGAATTACAGATACACATCTACAAGATGAGGAAATGAGATGTTACAAAACATTTGCTTACATTTTTTTTCCTCTTCTGGTCCTTGTGGGGAAATGTCTAAATTTAGTGTAGCTCAGACTTGTTTCCCATCCACCAAAGTGAAGAGGGACAGTAGGCTCTTGAGGAAGCATTTAGAGGCATTCCCTCCTTGGGCTTACATAGATTAAGGGCAGACTAGCTTCGATATCATTGCCTGGAATTGTGAATACAAGTGAGAACTAGAAAGGAATCAGGCAGGGCAAGATTTGCCTTTGCCAAACTCCCATGTTAAATACCCATGAATTGAGAAAGTAGATATCTGAAATTAAAAAAAAAAAAACAAACCCAAACCTAAAGTAGCCTTTGGATGGGTGTCCTGGAAAGTGGTAAGCTCACAAAAAGCCCAGGGTATTAGTGGAAAGCATATTGTGACAGCCAAAAAAGGTAATTTGGCTGAGAGGAATAATTAATTATGTGAGTGCTGCAGAAATAAAATGCTCCAAACTGAATTGTGATTAATCCTTCTTTTTAACCTGTATCTGTCATATTTAGATGGATTTGATGTACCACAATATTCTAAAAGGCATAGAGATGGAAATGAAGTCATGGGAGAGGCTTCTGGTTCAGGCAAAGGTGGGATGAAAGGGCTTCTGAGGTCCCTTCCCACTCAGGGAGTCTAAGATATAGACCAACCTGTTGGCTTTGTGGTTTTATCATTTTGTTATTTTTTTTTAATTTTTAGGCAATTGGGGTTAAGTGACTTGCCCAGGGTCACACAGCTAGTAAGTGTCAAGTGTTTGGTCTGAGGCCAGATTTGAACTCAGATCCTCCTGACTCCAGGGCCGGTGCTCTATCCACTGCGCCACCTAGCTGCCCCACCATTTTGTTATTTTTAAAAATAATTTTTATTGATATCTTTTGTTTTTGCATCACCTCTCTTATTCCCTGTGCATCCCTTCATCTTATCCTTCCTAGAGAATATAGAGTGTCTGAGTTGGCAGCTTCCTTGGCACACAGAATATCAGAAACATGGGCATAGAATGCCAAGGTTGGAAGGGGCCATAAAAAATAGAGTTCCATGACTGAAAAGGATCTTAGAACATGTAATTCCATGGATGAAAAGGGACCTTAAAATGTGGAATTCCAGGATTGAAAGGTACCTTAAAACATGGAATATCTAGGCTTGGAGGTGTCTTAGAGATCTAATTCCCTCATTTCAATGGAAGAACTCTGTGGCAGAGAGAGAGAAAGAGGGAAGGAGGGAGGGAGGGAGAGAGAAAGAGAGAGAGAGAGAGAGAGAGAGAGAGAGAGAGAGAGAGAGAGAGAGTCAGTCCAAAGTCACATAGCTGGGAAAGAACCATGCAAGTTCTAGAATGTAGGTCTCCTGATTCCCAAACCAATTCTCCTTCTACTATATCCCTGCAGCCTCCACATTCCAAGCAGCATCTCCCGGGTACCACTTTTCACAAAAGGACCACATGTTCTTTCCAATCGGATACAACTTCAATTGAATCCAGAGCTGTTTGATACCAATATATCCATAGACAAACAAAATGACCAGACCTCAAGCATACTCAACATCTGGATGGTTCCTAAGATCTTATTTCTCTGCCCCCCCATTTTTTTTTCTCTTTTAGACAACATGAACCAGACACCAAATTTATCCTTATTCTGGATAGAAGACTGGATACCTGGGCATCTGTCAAAATAACTCTCCAAAGAATTGCAGTAAGTATACATGCATTTTCCAGCAGTTGTCTGTTTTGTGTTTGTGTCATACTTTGTGTCCCGGGAAGGACAATGGGAATTGTCTTACTCCTGGCAGTTAGGAGAGATAAACAAACAGGAGAGCTGGTAGGGAGAGAAAGTAGGGTGAGGAGGTGGTGGAAATGGTACTTGGACAGCTCCACCCCATTGAATCCCATTGCAAAACTGTGGGAGAATGAAGCTTCAGAAGAACATTCAGGTTTAATGTAATGGGAAGGTTGTCTCAGAATACATTTGGACTCTCCTCCTTATTAATGCTGTGGCTGAGTCATGGTCTTCCAAGGTCTTCCTTGAGATAGTGGGTGCCCCATGCATCCTCATCGGTGTCTTTAGGCAAGTCTCCCTTTTCCATCTCCTAGTACTTGGTTCCCTTTATGACTTCAGAATTCCATTTTGGAGGGCTTTCCAACCTGTCCTGGGCTACCTTTTCCCTTTTCAGTCCATGAAATCCTACCTATTCTTCCTCCTTCAGTGGCTGAAACTTGCTCTCCTTCAATCTAGGGGGTTTTGTCATTATTTTTTGCATTCGTTTCTCATCCTACTCATTGCTAAAACTATTAAGTTGGTCTGAGCACAAATCCCTTGGGCACTCCACTGGAGACCTTTTTATGAGCTGATATCAGTGATTAATGACTGACTGTTCTTCAACCACTTTGAAATCTACCTAATTATGTTATCATCTGCCCTACACTCTCTATCTCATCCATAGGAATAGGAAGGAAGTGACATGTCCAAGGTGACAAGTCAGATTGGTAGTGGAGCTGAGACTAGAATGCAATGAACTCCTGGGCCCCTGTATTTTCAATTACACCATTCCTTGGATGCTGCTGGGCACTATGATAAGCACTTTACAAATATTCTCTCATTTTGTCCTTAAAACAACCCTGTGAGGTAGGTGCTGTTATTATTCCTCTTTTGTAGATGGAAAAACTGAGGCAGATAGCAGTTAAGTGACCTATCCAAGGTCACACAGCTAGTAAGTGTCTGTAGCTGGATTTGAATTCAGATCTTTTTCATTCCAGGCCTAGTGCTCTAACCCTATACCACCTAGCTGTCTCTTTCTGTCACAAGCAATACTCGAACACTAACGTGAATGAGATTAAGCATTTTTTGCTACTCACACCAAATTTATATATTCCTCCTTATCCCAGGAAAGTAGGTCTTTTTTTGGTCTGTATAGCTGAGTGTTTATTTGTTCTAAATAGTCACTTAATCATAGATAGGAGCAAGGGATTAATAATAATGAACTATGAGGTTGTAACTGATTTCATTTAAGTTAAACACTAAACCAATATCATACATTTGTGTAGAATTTTGGGCTTTTTCATTGGCTTTCACATGTATTTCATTTTTACTTGCATTTATCTTAGTGGAGTTTACAGAGTGACATTTTTTGGTCATTTTATGCATGAGGCCACTAAGCTGATCTAAAGAAGGGCTGCCTAACTTTTTTTTTGTGTACTGTACCCCTTTGGCAGTCTGTTTCAGTAAACCTATGGATCTCTTGTTGGAACCATGTTTTTTCTTTCTTTTTTGGTAAATAGTATTTTATTTTTTCCAATCACATGGAAAGATAGTTTTCAACATTCTTTTTTTTTTTTTTTGGTCTAGGCAATGGGGCCAAGTGACTTGTCCAGGGTCACACAGCTAGTAAGTATCAAGTGTCTGAGGCCGGATTTGAACTCAGGTCCTCCTGACTCCAGGGCGGGTGCTCTATCCACTGTGCCACCTAGCTGCCCCTCAACATTCACTTTTTATAAGATTTTGAGTTTCAAATTTTTTTTCCTCCAGAATGATGTTTTTCAAGGCAAAAATGAAATACAAAGGATTACAAAGACAACCAATCACATTGAAATAAAGATATCATTTTTTTCCCTCTTTTTCCACATAAGGTCAGAAACACCCTGAAATCTATCCATGGACCAGAGTAAGGACACGTAAACTAAAGAAAGTTTAAGTGATTTGCCCAAGATCTCACTGCTAGTTAGGGATTGTACCCATTTCTTCTTCCTAGACCAAGACCGTCTCACTCTTTTATGGCTGAGAGGTAGGGACAGCCCTGGGTTTTGAGCCTGAAGAACCTTCCTGGAGAATTGGTTTGGCCACTTAATACCTGTGGGATTCTGGGGAGGTTGTCTTCTGGGGCCTCACTTTTCTCAACTGAGTACTTAGTGTTAATATTTTTTAAAAAAAAGATCAATTCCTGTGGCTTTAGTTCCAGTTGCTGAAGTGGGACAGAGTACTTGATTTGAGTTCAAATTCTGCCTTAGACATGTACTTACTGTGTGACCTGGTCAGGTCTCATCACTCCTCTGAGCTTCAGTTTTCTTATCTTTAAAACGAGGGCAATAATACTTGTTGCACTTAGCTCACAGAGTTGTGAGAATCAACTGAAGTAATTTTTATCCAGTGCTTCTTAAGCTATAAGCCATCAGATAAAGGCCAATTTTTGCTACTGTTGTTGTTGCTTTTGCTATACTAGTGGACTCTGTGAACCCCAAGCTATGGATCTTTCACCTTTGCTACTTCCTACCTATGTGGTCTTAAGCAGGTCACTTCCCCTCCCTGGGCCTCAGTTTCCTCATCTGTTAAATGAGGGTGCTAGACTAGTTGGCCTCAGAGGTCCTGTTTAGCTTGAGATCCAGAATCCTTTTGTAATACTAGGCAAATCACTTCCCCTCACTGGGCCTCAGCTTCCTTTTCTGTAAAATGAAGGGCTTGGTCCAGATGGCCTCTGCTGGTCCCTTCTTCCATCATTAGATCTAAGATTCCCTGATCCAAAGTCATTTTCTCTCCCTCAGCTTCATTTTCCTCCTCTATAAAATGAGGGAGATTGGACTAGGTGTCCTTTGAGGTCACTTTCTACCTCTGAATTGAGGATCTTCTCATCCCCACACCCTTCCAGTTAGTTCTAAAGCTTGATTAGCAGGGTTCAATTTGTGCCAATAATCACTATACTAAAATTAGTATTTAGCATAATAATGTAATTTTTCAACATCCAGATTTTTTTTTGGCCAGCACAATCTACTCCAAAAATTGCTTTTTCCTGTATTCAATGAAATTAATATTTAAATATGTACTTGGCACCTGGCCTTGTCATAGACAGGAGAGGCAGATTCCAAACCCTGGACATCATGTTGGATATTATTTCTATTCATTTGTGTGTGTGTGTGTGTGTGAAGGTTTACAGTTTTATTTTTATTAATTTCTCAGGACATTTTGAACAAGACCCAGGGTGGTGAAGGGGAATTGGCTTTGTCAACTTTCTAGAATCAAAAGGCCTACTTCTGACATTTACTATCCAAGTGACCTTGGGCAAGTTATTTGTCTTTTAGGGGTGTCTTTTTCCTTATCTGTGAGAGATGGGCAAACCATTACTCATGCTTCCCACCCCACGTTGTGTGGAGCACAATAAGAAAAGAACTAGCAAGTGCTTTGGAAGCATTAAACTCCACTCAATTTAAAGATGGGTTCTGATACCAGGTTTTAATTTTTTTTTAACCAGGCAAGAAAAATAATGATTACCTTTGGGGAAGAGTGAGGGTTTCTGCTCTCACTAAGAGAGCAGGCCCACCATTCTCTTCTTAGGTATTATTTTTGATGGGAACCACATGGCATTCTGGCACTTCAAACCCCAGCTTTGCCACAAATTAGCCGTGTGACCTTGGGCTAGTCATTTGGCCCATTTAGATCTCAGTTTCCACCCCTGTACAATTAGAAAGTTAGACTAGATGACCTCGGAGGTCCTTTCTAACTCTGGATCTCTGGTCCTGTTATTGGAAGGCCCTCAGCTTTGTCCTCTGTAAAATGGGGGGAGGGGGGATTGGGACAGATGGCTTCTAAGGTATCCTTCAGCTCTAAATCTTTGACCCTCTGATCCCATGAAGATGAATTCATTAGATAAACAAAGCTGGTCCCGATTCCCCAAAGGGCTGCCCCTGAGATCCTGGCTTCATAGAAATCTACCTTTAGCTGTCCGGGAATACAAATCCAGGGTGCAGTTTGGGCAACCGAATTTAATTGGTGTTATCAACTGTCCCTCAAATCTGTATTTCAAGTCAAGAAGGATTTTTCAGGTGCTACAATGTGCTGGAAAAAAGAAAATTAGTAGCATCTTGGTGGGAATTCTATTTAGTTACTGTAATTTAGAAGTTTTTGGTGCTTTAGAAGTTGCAAGACCACAGTGTAGTTTTTTTAACAATTGAAATTGTGGAGGTTTTTTTTGGGGGGGAGGGAGTGGGTTTTTTTTTTTATTTCTGGCGGACCTCTCTTTGGCTATTCCTCACTCCTAGAAATATTTCATGAATGAGACAGTGTGGTGCCGGTCATTCTGTACCCTGACTTGTGAGGTTCAGTCCTACCTTCTGCCCTATTATGACTCCTCATCTCTCCTAAGGCTGGTATAGCCTAACTCTGAATCTGTGGCCCCTCCTTTTACCCTGTATACTGGCCACCCCCAGCGCAGGGAGCATAAACTTTCTCTTTACCTTCTCTTCTCCAGGTGATTAGCAGTCCCGAGAAGTGATAACTTGGCTTGGAGTAGGTGGTCTTCTCAGGTTCTAGTCCCTCCCCCTGCCCTCATGAAGCTCGCTACGAAGCCCCCATTTCCCTGTTTCCCTGCTGCTGTCCAATGGTACCTACTTCTGGCCACGCGAAATTGACATGGAGGCCCATTCCCCTATGAGAACAAACTGTTAGCAAACATGCTGTCTTCACAAAGAATCTGAGCATTCCACCTTAAAAATCCAACCTCATGCAGGAGCTGAGGCGATACCAGCAGTCTTGCCCTAAGCTCAGGGAGACACTTAGGCTGCCTCCTGCCCGAGTCAGGACTAGGCACCAGGTGAAGGCAGGTTTAGGGAAGGGGCTAGGGGGCATATCTATCGTCCCTTCATTCAAATGAGGATCCAGGGACTCCTGAAAGGATTTGTCAGCTGACCACCAGGGGGTAGTGGCTTCGG